GTTGGTTCGAGATCCCCCACTGAGATTGCTGAGGGTGACTCTGATATGGATGTCGATGCAGTGAAGGTGAAGAAGGAGCCGGCTGAGAATATGGGTGGCACTCGAGTCAAGATTGAACATGCACGTGATCGCGGCTCAAGCTGGAGAAGCGGAAAAGGACTGATGCGAGGGGTGACCACCACTCCCCTGGCGAGGATGAGGTAGTGGAGAGTCCGACGAAACGTGCTCTTCCTGCGGGTGAAGTTCATGCTGCTGACCGGCCAGTGACGGGTAGTGAACTAAGACAGCTGCTCCAACTGCACGCCTCCGAGATGAAAGAAGCATGGCGCACCTTCGAGAGCCGGTTGGACAAAGCAGAGCACGCTCAACAAAAGCAAGTGGGCGAAATCGCATCTTTGTCGGGCAGGGTGAAAATCAACGAGAAGGACATTCGGGATGTTAAGAAACAGCAGGAGACCCTCCAGCCCAAGCTCGACTCACTCACTGAGGACGTCCGGAACCTGAAGGTGCAGCTTGATGAGGTGAAGAACCAGCCGATTCCGGGAGCTCGTGGGGGTGACCCTGCTCAGGCCCTTGTACCTGGAGACCCTTAAGGTGACTACCTCCAAAGACAAGGCCGCCAACTTCGCCCGCCCAAGGCACGTCAAGGGGGAGGAGCCGGAGATTCTGCGGTGCCTGTCACGGACAACCACCCTGGGACCAACAGTGGGGGTGATGTTCTTTCTGAAGAGGACCAGCGCACACTGATCATGGAGGGTTGGCTCCAGGACACGCGCAGGGCAATGATCGAAACCGAGGCGGACATTGTGTTCAAGCTGCCGGAGCTCGAGGGCCTCTTTGACGTTGACAAGATTGCCGTCTTCGGTCCACGTCGCAGCGTCGGGATGGTGAAGTTTGTTGTTCGCAATGGGGAGACTATTGGCCAAATGAGGGAGAGGATGTGGAAAGTGATTCGCACAGTCTCGCAAGCCAAGCTGATGTTCCCCAGCACGAAAAACATGGGGGAGGAGAAGCAGGTCTGGATGTCGTTCATGAAGACGCGAACAGCGAGGACGAGGACCGCCCTTATCAGCATGGTTCGCCGTGTGACCATAGGGCTGGCCATGGACGCCAAGGACGAAGGTGGGGGTGTGGTGCACATGGAACATACACAGATGTCGGCTTACGATATGGATTGGAGCGCAGGCACGATTTGGTGCGGAGTCCATAAGATTGCGTCCGCTACCCACAGAGGACCCAAAGATGCAGAGGTGATAACGATGCATGGTGGGTGGGTCAATCTTGATGCAGTCGGACAGGTGGCTGGCTGCACGGCGGGGGTTGCGAAAGCAGCCTTCGAGAGGGAACTATGAAATGGGGCGAGATCATGTTTCACCCCGTCCGAGTTGAGCCAGCCTAAGGCTTGTGTGACTGGGATGGGAAACCCTCCTGGACAGTGTGCAAAACACCGTTGGGGGAGGGTTATGCAATGGAATTTGGGTGGCCAAGGGTTAAATTTGCTCGATGTGGCTGCCTTAGACGCCGAAATCCTCTTCGTGCAGGAGATCTCCAGGGCAAAGAGTGGGTGGAAGAGTCATGACTCTGAACACTTCCATTGGACCTCCTACAGAGATGATGAGATGTGGAGAGGGGTTGGTGTGGGCATTGCGCTTGACAAACTGGACTGCATCATTGCCAAGGTCAGCACCAAAAGAGGTATCTGGATCCTGGCTAGGCTGGTGGGCCTGGGACGAGTTGCTCTTGGGTCCTTACACTGTCACACCGGGGTCACCAACGCCAAGTACCAGGCCGCTGTGGCAG